TAGATAGTTACTGTAATCATAAAATGAAGAACAGGAAGAGAGGAAGAGGTGGTTAAGATTTTAAGCGGATAAACGAGACGCGTCTTTTGTTACGACCGAAAATAACTGACGGTCTAAGAAGATTTCAGTCTCAATGGAAGAGGGATTTTTCAATTAAAGCGAGACAAATATTCTCTCGTTCGAAAGCGAAGGAGCATCAGGATCCATTATGGATACGAAGAGCAAAGCAGTCTAAAAAGGGATGGATGCAATTCTATCAAAATGCGCATCCTATTTCGGTGAAAGAAGAGAAGGATAAGGTGCGCCTCGATTCTTACAGAGGGCTTCAGCGAACATCCTTCTGAATAAAGGAATTCGCTGTTGAAGAAAGTATCTGTTAATCCTTGCGAAGGATTAGGATTCGGAAATTTATTGTAATTATTCGGTCGACTCGAGAAACCTGGCCCTACGATAAATCAAGAGTTTAGGCGCTGCTATGTTTTGAAGACTGCACTTTTCTTCTTGTAGTAGATATTTCTTATATTCTTTTAAAAATTATTTCGAAAGATTTATGTAGTAGCTGAAGAAATAAATATTCTTGACCCAAAACTGCATTCATTATTTGTTATCCTTATCCCGCCTCAAAAAATAAGCTAATCCAGCCTAAATAAACATTTCTAACAAATTGCTACAAAGTTTTATGATAATCAAAGGATCCTGGGTATTTCACCTTAAATTAAAAAAAAAAAGAAGACTGGAATTATCAGATGGTAAAATGGAGATGCTAGAAAGATTCAACATGTTGTCCGATTATCACAGGGAGTTGAAAACGACTATCAGAAGATTATCGACAGACAAGAGGAATCCAGATAGTCATGGCACGATGCATACGTGCAGTCGGTTGTTGAAGATGGTCGGGTTCTGGTCCGAGGTTGCGGTGTCCAAGGGTGTCCTTGAAGCGGGCGGGGTCGTCACTCGAGGGCCGCGGGTAAACGACCATCAGAATCCATGTGTGCTAGGCAGGCGAAGACCTTATAGGCGTATCCTTACACTCGTACTACTTAACTTTCTGCATCTGTATACGTGACGTTGTTCTGCCTCTTTCTTTCCTTCTTTCTCTCTTTCTGTACCGTGTTGCAGATATAAAAGAAGCTACTGCCTCTTTCACTTTACAAGTGTTATGAAACGGTTATCCCCGCTCCTCCCCTTCTATCACTGATATCGATTTATAGGTTTAATTACCACCTCGTTATGCGCGTCGATAATCGTTTAACATTAACCCCTTGAACAGCCGAGCCTCGGTCAATCGTGACCAAAGAAATATGAAATGTAAAATGAAATTTAGAGTCCACCAATTTAGAGGGTTAACAGAACCTTCCAATAAACGATTACGATTGACCTAGCTACCATTATTCAAAGATGAAGGACCATTAGATAAAAAAAGAAATTAATTTAGTTACGAAAGGGTTAACGGAAGGAAGTGATACGGGAAACTAATGATACACCAGGCGCCATAAAGCGTCAGATAAAGACGCATCAAAGTTGATGATAAATGCAGTCCAACAGATATGACGAGTGGCGGGTACCCGGAGGAGATACGCGTAGGAAACAGTTGAAGAAAAGGGCCAGGTTGCATGGAAGTCGTCCTTGAGGGCATATAACTGAAGAGTAGCAGAACGATGCTCAAGCCCGGTAATGAGCCAAATCCATTACGCCATTCTCAGCAACACGGTATAAGACGGCCCCGAGTCTGACTGCAGGGACTAAGAGCCATCCCTCTGTTGAGAAAAAGAGAGAAGCATAGTCCACGCGTGCATCTATGCCACGCACGTATCGCGCCGGTAACAACCACCTAACCGATGGCACCGGTTTCCCTAGCAATTCCAATTATAGATCTGGTAAGTATATTCCATGGAGCAGGACGAAGCAACATCCCCTTCTATCCGCCCGCTCCACCCATCCTCTCTCCCTTCGCTATATTCGCTTCCTGATCGCCGCGAAACCAATTATGCGCGGGACCACGCGAGCAAATTGAAAGCCTCCAAGAGATCACCCCCTCGCGTCTGATCGTGCCGCGAACAAACTTCCACTAACGAGACGAAGAAACATCCTCCGATACCAGTGCCTGGCATCGCTCGCATCGACGTTTTCATACCATTTTCAAAACTTTGGCCCGCCACGGAAAAGATAATGAAATAACGTAAAGTATCCTCTCCGTTAACGATAGAGTGTCAAAGAAGAGGCGAGTAGGAGCAATTCGCATCGGTTTTTTTTTTTCCCCGCCAGAAAAGCGAGCGTCCATCGAAAGCAAAACGACCGATAAATTCCACGAAGAAACCGGCTGTCCGGTGCGAATAAATCACTCTTGGCTTGGCGAACTATAAGGGAACACCTTTTTGCCACGATGGGCGACGGTATAAATCGTCGCGGACGAGCCGGCAACCGCCACGAATATCGACACCGATTTTACGACTATCACGTATGACAACGCGTCGCCTCCTGCTCGCCACTCGCTACAATTAAACGGGCTGCAAGGTACTCGCAAGGTCGTTACGAGCAAGGCACACCGGATACGACACAAAAGAGGAGGAGGATGCGAACCAACGGCGGGTTTGTGCAGAGGGCCGGACGAGAGAGGGCCGGGAGAGATGGACCGTTGGCGCCACGCAATTGTCAATTAACATTTTTACCGCCGTGCAAGAAAACACGAAGTTACGTGCCGGCGTACGTGGCCAGAGCGCGGACCACGCTCGGCTCGACAGGGTTCCAGGGATCACGAGCAACACGATGAAGAACGGAGAAAACGAGACTGTACCGTAGACTGGTCGCGTTAAAGGAAGAGAATTAGAAAAGAAGAAACGAATCCAGAGAATACATTTCATTATGATCACGAACCGAATGGATTACTAATCGTGAACACCTCTTTGACCATTCAGCTTACAGAAGCAAAGGCTACACTCTCCTCTGTTAAGACTCGTTTTTCACACGTGAGAACGAAGAAGTTTTCTACGACGAGTATATCCGGCACAGACGAGACTCTATTAGTACTTATTAGCATATATCGCCCTGTTTTTTCTTATGTTGTATTCGCTTTTTTCTCGTTTCTCGTTGACGCTCTAACTTCTCTGTCTATCGGCCAGCAAATTCCCTTGTCGATACGCGGCTGCTCGAAATGGGGTGATATTTTCAGATTATTCGCTCTTTACTACATTCCACGATGCTCTTACACCGCTCGTAATATCACGTTGCAAGAGACTGCGATAGTTTCGAATATTACATTTAATAAGCTGGTATCGGGTTCGCTCTCCGTTACATCGAATATTTTTTTTCCGTAGGGAGATTCTATGCTAACGGTACGATCGAAAAGGTCCGTGAATCTTCACCATAAGATTACTTTTAGCAAGACATTCCATGTATCTACATGAAAAATTAAGAAAATCGGATACTATGCTACAGAAGATAAAGAAAGACAGGGTTTGGTAATCGATGAGTGCCACGAAATCCCTAAAACAACAGCAGAAACAAAGGGCACTGCATTTACTTGTCAGGTGTATTCTGTTACACGATATCCCCGAGAGAAGAACGAGGGTGTGCAACGTTTTACGAGATGCAAATGTCGGCCAGTCGGACAGCCAGTCAACCGCACCATCAACTTGACCACCGGCTGGTGAACTACACCGAGCGTGTCCCTGTTCGTCTTCGGCTCGCTTCACTGACTGAGAAACGTGCAACAGCTTTGAAACCACAGCTCAAAGTTACGACCTCTGCGAGAAGAGCTGTAGATTCGCGGCTGGACGTAAATGTTGCCGAGTAAATTGCCACAGACATTTCCCCCTTTCCTCGCGATACTGTCCCTACGGTAGAGATCGATCGGTGATCTCAACGATTCGAAACTTGCACAAGCGAGATCGATTTTCAATTCATAATTTTTTTATTAAAAAATATTTAGAATTACCCCACCATTCCATTTTTAATAATTAAATATTTACAACACGTATATTATTTTCTATTTTATAGTCAACCCTTTCAACGCATCGTAATATTTTACAATAAAATACGTACATTCCTAAAACGGCCTTTCGAGCACGTGCGTTTTGTTCATCAAAGTTTCTCGATTTAATATCTTGTTTTACAACCGAGTTGTAAACGGTCCACGTTATGAGAAACTCCTCGTACGACAGTCCCTTCAACAAGCACTTTAAAACGTACCATCATCAGTTTTCGATGTTACAAGCGGCAAGTTACGCATACCGATTGAACTACCGGTCGCTACCAGCTTCCACGAATTCAGAGCACAGTACGACTTCGTATCATACTCAATTAGTTTAACTACTTTAAAACAAGCTGCTTTTCTTCAGCTGCTATTTTATGCATGACTGGCCAATAGGTAATTTTAACTTTGACCGAGAAGCTCTTACTTTTTGCTTTGAGCAATTCAAGAAGGAAACGTAAAAATCTTTAAGCAGAGACTATTAAGGTAGGAGGTAAAATAATAACTGGTTTCATAAATAAGAATAAAAAAAATGGCAGGTTTACGTATATGAGGTGCAAAGGGGTAGAGTTAACAAGATTTAACAAAAAAAAAAAAATAGTGTAGGAAAGTTGGTCTACTATCGACAATATTATCGTAACTATTCAGAATTAATAGCATCGTATCGACAGCATCGAAACCCCCATAGTGCAATTAATAATGGACACCGTCTACATATATGGTAACTAAACTTGCACGTAGTGAACCCTTTGAGTTAGAGACTCTCTGTTATAGCTCTACTGGGAACCATTAAAACTTTGCTTACATAATAAATGACAGAACCTGGTAATATCACGGTCTAATGGGAACATACGGTATTCTAATCCGTTCTTCAATAAATTCAAGTGCACGGAATAATTTAAATTTGATGTAATAGATATAAACAATAAAAATAAATATAGCAACTAAACACTTTCACAAATAAAAAAGAAATCCAAGCATACCACAAGTTTTTCCAAAACAAAGTAAAATATTTAACAAAATCACTCACCCTATTTTGGTGATCAGCTTCCCATGGACGTGAAGGTAAGATGTAACAAATCGTTTATTCACCTGAAGCAAATTAAAAATATGAAAATTAAGTTTCGTAATGTGATTTGCTACAAAAAAATAAAATAAAATTGGAAGTGATTTCGCACCTCGACACTGCTTAGTTGTGCCAATTCTTCTAAATCACTATGAGATAGCCTCGCTTCATTGGCAGTGGCTGCAGTAGTTGTACGACGAACACGTCTTCCACCAGGATGAATCCATATTTCTCTCCTCAAACCTCCTCCAATATTATTTGCTCCTTCTTTTTCTTTCATTCTGGCCCTTTCCTTCCATTCCCTTTCCTCCTTTCGTTTCCGTTCCGTCGATTCATACTGATAGAATACATCACAAGTTAAAAATTTATATTACTGCTTACTATGATTTTACTAACAGCATACTGCATAGCGTAAATGAGAGTTCACTGTACACTTTCTCATAAAAGATTCCATCAGATATCTATATTTTATACAATCTCTCAAGTACTAACAAAAGATACAAGCATCATACACCTGAAGTGTAAAAAGCTCGTTAAATGTTTGTATCTTTCAGCTGCAACTATTTAAAAAAAAAAGATGCATGCTAACATTGTGTGCGTAATAGTGCTAAAAACTAATGTACATATTGTGCTTTGCTTTATAGCAAATAATCCAACAAAATGCAGCGAACTATAATTGAATAATGTTTAAACTATGTTTCTAATTTCGGTGAACACTACTATTTCAGATTACTAATTATGTTATTGATTCTATCCAAGCATAGAATGTTTTGCCTTTAAACGATTTCGGCTGTACCAGAGTAATTAATTATTTTATATTTCATTAACAGTTGTAAGCGTGCGAGAAGGCTTATGATGATATGAACAAGTTTATTGAATATCAAAGAGTTTGAAAATAGAGAAAACTAATTCAAGCTGCAGTTTAAGATAACTGGTATCTAGATAAATCACACCAAGTATCGAAATTTACTTACATAATGTAGATACTGGCGGCAAAATAAAATCAAAATATTATTAAAGTTAGTATTAATACAAACATAATAGTAAAGTATTTTAGAATTTCACGTACCTTTCTTCTATTTTCATCGAAAAGTGCTATTAAACTCTCTCTCGCAGAATGTAGAGGATTGGATGCCATTAGAGACCGCATGTAATAATATACCGCGTCCAATTTTCGTCTCTGAAAAGAAAAGTTAACCTGAAATTTCTGGGTTCACTTTATTTCATTTGATTATAAACCATAATATTCGAACACATACAGCATAATGAGCCAATAGCGCGAGTTGACTGTATGGTTTCCCGTTCTTTGGATTAAGTTGTTGTGCTTTCAAATACCATCTGAAGTAATGTTAAAATTTATGTGAACACAAGTGTCAACAGGGGTGAAGTAACATTCTATGTTTGTTTCCACTTACTGTCTAGATTTTCCGTAATTATTCGTCTCATTTGCTTGCTCTCTGTATCTTGCCAAATCACCCAAAAACAAATATATTTTCTGGGCACTTACTAAAGCTAAACCTAAGATACCAAGACCCTTAGGCAACGTTGATGACGCAAGAAACGTGTCCAATTTGAATTCGTACTTGGTTTCAAGAACAGTTAACAAACCCTCTAAATACACGGTACCCTCATCGATAATTTTCAACATTATTTTTTTGTAATGTTCACGACCTTCGGGATTCTCCTTAGGCATGCCTTTACGTAGCATCTCGATCATGTTGTAAAAAAGTATCTTCCAAAAATGTTGCTCAACGTTTTCAGCTTGACAAAATTTGATATCAGTCTCGAGCAAAGTTTTCAAGCTTTCTTGCAGAAAGTGCCTTATGTACAAAACTCTCTCCCAATTTGACGTAAAACCACCAGAACTTAATATCCATTGCAATTCTAAATCGGCGCGTTCTATGTCCAAAAGTAGGTAAGGATTTTTGGCTAATCGGAAACTAAAAAAAGAAAAAGTCAATTGTATCAATACAATTGTTTTTTCTTATGACTTAAAAGATTATTGTTATTTGTACATACCTATCTGAATAAGGATCGTACCACGATGGTCTTATATTACCAAATTGGTCATTTGTCATATATGGTGGTGGTACACCATCCAAGTGTGCTCCCTGGAAGCTATGATGCGTAGAAGAAATGCCTCCGTGGGATTGAAACACTGGTACAGTCGAACTTTGAGTCATAGTATCGCTTTCTCTGAAGAAACATCCGGTAATCCAATCGATTATTTAATGTCATTACACTTAACAAAAAAGTAAAAAGAATTTAAAATCACACCTTTGCACCGCAGCTCTACTACTAGGTGAAGTAACAACGATAGGTTTATTAGGATTGTTGGGATCAAATAATGTTCTTTGCTGTTGAACTTGCTGCCTTGAAACTGAATGACTAGGCGGCGATTGGCCAGTATCGGGTAACACTAAAACACCTGGTGGTTGTGAGTTACTATATCCACTAGGTGATGTCTGATGCGTTGCCAAATTCAAAGTTGTATTCGATAAAGGAATAGAGTAAGAGGAAACATTAGGTGTCTGTCGTCCATCGTCAGACTCACATGCTGACATTTTTCTACCTGTTCTCCAATTTTCATCTAAATAACGATCAGATGATAATCTGAAAATCGTATGTAAAACAAAACATTGCCAATAAGTTCTAATATTTACTCCATTCAAAGTATGAATTTTATAAAACAATTTATACCTATGTCTATGAAGGTCATCGAAATTCCGATTACCCCCTCGATAATTTCTATCTTTACTAGATTCTCGACTACGTTGTATAATATTGCGATGTCTTCTATGATCATATCTTCTACTACTACTATTCTTTTGATTGTTATTGTAGTTATCATTCTCCCTATTTTGTTGATTATTTTGCCGATCACGGCTGTTAACTCGAGCTTTATCTCTACTATTGCTCCTTAAATAGTATGAAAAATAAACGCACTATGAAACTTAATATCCTTAATGGAAATCCAAAGCATAAACACTGACAACCCTTACCTGCCTCGGTCTGCTGCGTACTTCTTCTCACGCTTTTTTTTTTTACGTCGACTGTGACCACCTGTTGTAGTTTCATTTCCTGGTACATTAACGTTTTCACGTAAGCTTAATACAGAGGAGCTACGACTGGCACGTTCGGCTTCTAGCTTTTCGGTTAATTCAACCTCCTCACTCCAATCCTAAACACCGTAACTTAAATGTAATAAGCAATTGAATTTTAATTACAAATATGTTTTAAATAGAACACCTACAAATGGATGTTCAACAGATGTATTTGATCCCGTATTAACGGACTCGCTTTTAGATAGGCTAATTCCTAAATTTTGATCATTTTTATTCTCCTGTGAGGTACTGCGCTCGATCGCATTAGTATTAAGACGTTGCCTGAAAATGAAAATCAAAGGCAATGAATAGGGATGTTGAAAAAATAAATACTCATATATCGTGTAGATGAGTACGTTTGAGGACGATGAGAAGCTGGAGGTGGAGATACTCCTCGACGATGACTTTCTGGAGAATTTTGACGTTTATTTGTATTAGATGTTGAAGTAACGGGTGACGCCGACGACGGTGGTGGCATCATTGAGCTATCAGCGCGACTTAAACTTTCCATACTAGTATACATAGTGCTATTACTACCACGACGATCATAGGACCTATTTTTCATAATTATAATTAGCTATGAAACAAAAAATTCAATTACAAGATTTTCAAAAGATATATGTACCTTTGCATGTACTCTTGGCTTGGTGTATGAGATCTGGAACTTGGAGCTGAATACTGATCAGGTGTAACACACCTAAAACTGTTAGTTGAAGTTTCTAAGTCTTCTGGTCTAAGTCTACCTCTGCCTCTACTTCGTGCTGGAACTGTGTTAGACCAGCTAGATTGTGGAGGTAATGGACCAGATGGAGGTAAATTTTGCATAGTTTGTGAGTGTTGCATTGCAGGTGGAAAATTATAATTTGATGATGCCTTTAAAAGAAAATTTATATATCAACAAATTGATAAAATCATTACGAAAGCTGAATAAAAAAAAAATAATTTTTTACCTGAAAAGTGATACTACTACTATTCCATGCTTCTTCTGAAGGCGATGTACTTGGTGGTAATGGTAAACCATTATCGATAAGATATTTTTTCTGTAATCTAGGTGGTAAATGTTCTATTTTTATATTTTTTGGCAAACTATCTTTTGTACCACCCCATTTACCTGAAGGTGGTTTGCCTTGAAATTTCTCGGGATGTCCAACGGGTTCTACACTACGCGTATCTCTAGTACGATTAAAATCATTTACGTGATTCGTTGTTACAAAAAGAGGTTCTGAACCCTAAATAAAAAAATATTAAAAATTAAGTACAAATGTTAGTTCCGTTATATTAAACATTATACCAAACATTACTGACCTGTCTAACTTCACGAGAGCTATCTTTGCGACATCCGTAACTTCTACTAGACAAAGGAGAGTCAGATCGCCAACGCTCTTCGTTATCATTGCCATGACGATTTCGACGATTACCCGAATATCTTTTGCCATGATCATCTCTGTTTTTACTTCCACTTTCATTGTCTCGTCCACTGTAACCACCTGAACGATTACGGTGACTATCACTTTTATAGCTACGATTGGAATGAGAATCACGATCTTCGCTGTGTTCTCTCTCTTGATCCCGATCCCAACCCCCTTGATTCGGAGATCTATGCGATAAGGATAATAATATATTTATTCAATCCACAATATTTCATTAATAACGAAACAGACATATTTTCACATAATTCACCTATTTATTACATCCTGTTCGGCCAATGCTTCTTTCACTTTTTTAGGTATGTACAATTGCTGTTCTGGTTTCTTAGATTTTTTTCTTGAATCTCCGGAATTACTGGTCTGAGAAGAATCTTGTGCCTGCTCAATGTTTGTAGAACTTTTGTAGTTAATATTTAAATCATTTAATTTTTCTGTTACATTTTCAACTTGAGATGATGGTGGACTATTTTGCATTTGATTGGATCTATTGGATTGTGATTGTTTTAAACGATATTGGACGGAGCTTGATTTCGGTTTTTCCTGTGATATATTCTCATTATCTAAGTCATCTGTAGATCTACCAGACTTTCGAAGAGGTCCACTTCCTGGTCTATACAAAGCTTGAGATGCTCTGTTTCCTCCACCTCGCATTCCCATTGATTTATCCTTTTCTAATTTTGTGTTCTCTGAAAATTATTAGGTTCACTTTTTTTTAAAACTATTAACAAAGATTTAAATAATAATTAATCATATCATATACAATACATATCAAATTAGGTAATTCACTAGAGCTTTATATTTATTTTAATTACATAATATATCACATTTATTTATACAATATTACAATAAAAGATACAAATTAAGCGAAAAAACCAAATTTTAATAGAATTGCAGGCAACTGAAAGAATTTATTATAAATTAATAAATGCTTATTAAACAATACGTTTAGTTATTTTTTATAAATAATCATACAGGTACAAGTCATATTTAATCACCTCTAATACATTTCATTGTTTAAATTATACAAAATTCTGGAAAAGAAAGATACAAAAGACTAAAGTATTACACAATAAAGATTGAATATCCTTTGAAAAAAAAATCATTTGTATCATAAATTAAACACCTGGAAACTTTAATTTTTAATAAGTTTTTATAAGTAAATTACATAGCCCAAATAATAACAAGCTTTTCTTAGAGACTTCTTTAGAAAATGATCAAAGAGTTATATGAGAAATGTCTATATTTTAAACACTTTTCATATACATTAATCATAATACTTTGCATGTAATATGATATACTTTTGTTGAATTACAATAATTACATATTTTTATTAGCTTGGTATAAAGTTTAGTTAAACGTGTTAATTAAATGCTAGTTGTTGACACTCTTGACAGTATCTACATTTACTAACAATCTACAAAAATGAGATATGATAGTTATGTAATCTACAACCGTTAGAAATAAATTTACATCTTCTAGAAAAGTCTGATACAAATTATGGGAAATGTTAAATTCATTTCTTGCTCTTCTTAAATTTCACAACATACCACAGCATAATAATTCCCGCTGTAATTTTAGGTTAGCTTGTTTGATGAGGTTAGCTCTGTGAATGCACTCGATTGTATTACAAAGAAGCATACACATTTATTAACTAGGCACACATAAAATGTAATCATACAATTGTAAATTAAGATATTTATACTATTTGATAATGTAATTTTTTCAAAGTACCTTGTAAAAATCCTCCCCACTTTCTGCGTCCTTTGTCGCGGTTCGCCATATTGAAGTACAATCGTACCAAAATTTTTATAAACTCGAGGAATACAAATTTGATTATAATCTGATATTTAACTGATGCCAGGAATCAGCATTAACAGATGCACAATCGCCTATTAAAAATAAATGAATTAAAATTAAAAAGAGATATTTCAATAATTGGCTTCTTACATTATCTAAAGATAAATTAATAAGGCGATGCAAGCGTCGAGGCCAAACTCAGAATTCCACGTCGGTAAAACAGCCCACATTTCAACGCAAATTAGGCCGAACAGAAACCGATTTAAACGCCACCTCAGTTATTGCATCCAACTAACGGCATAGCTATAATCAACTACGATAGCTATTTTCTGTACAATGAATCCTTACGCAAATTACCTGTCGCCAGAGAAACCACAGTTTCTCGAGCGAGTTTGGTTCGCCTTGGATGTGGTGACAGCCGCAAGTTTAAATGTACATGTGAGACAATACTAACGCAATCAAAATTTAAGATCAAAACTTTTTTATTTTTGGTTCATTTTTTATGAAATTTTTATCAAACTATTTCTAAACGTCTCCTGATTAAAATGATACCAAACACGACACGGTATTTGATATTACAGTGTCATATTCTACGGCATTATATAAGAACATGATTAAACAATACTGACCATGCATTTATTATTATTAATTTTATTTCCGTAAAATTGTATTTGCAATGTGGTACACTTCTGAAACTCAAAGGCATAGTTCCTGAAAAAAAAATAACAGATTAAACAGAAAAAAAGGCATAAACTTCGCAGCCAATTAGCTCGAGTTATTTGCTGCATAATTAATAAATGTACCATAGAAATAATGATACAGTTATTAATTAGTCATCAAATAATAACGATTGCCCAGGTCTCACCACGGGGAGGTTGCTGCGGGTGGAGACCCGCCCTACCTCATCCCAACCACCCTCCATTTATGCAAATTTTTATTTTCATTCAATAATATCATCCTCTTGATGTACATTTGCAAAACGTTTTTGACTGTTGTGCAAACGAACAACAAAAGGAGCATCGTTTTTATTTATTACCTACCTATCTACTTATCTATACATATATCTACTTTTTATTTTTGCTTTTTATTCCTATCGCAACATTTTTTAATTTTGGTTTTAATCACAGATCTGTAATTAATAAATATGCAATTGCATATTTGTCCTACATACTTATATTACTAAGAATGCATACCTAAACGAGCGCTCGTAATTATATTAACACTAAACGTACCGAGGTTTAATATATACCTATTTGTACCGCAACAGGCCAAATGAGCTGTAGTAGTAAATGAAGCTAGGTTACACGTGTTGGTTATTTAATAAATAAAAATATAAATAAATGATGTAAAATTAATTGCATATATATTTAATAGAAAAAGTCACGAAGACAAATGTGAAAAAGCGATAACATTTTATGCGAATTTTCTAATCAAAAGTTTACAACCGGTCATGATACGTTCAGTGTTAAAAATTCGCTTAAATCTAACGCTTCCTAATTAAACACTGCAGTGTTTGACGATTATATCTTAATCACCATAAAGTCATTATAAGGTCATATATAGTCAATATCAAAATTTAAAGGGATATACATAAATAAGTACAATGAATTTCTTGATTTTGTTGTCCTCGCCAGAAAACTTCTTCAAACAAACTGAAAAGGATTAAACATAATTTAAGATAATAATGAGGCTCATGTAGCCTTAATCATAAATTTACAACCTGCCTGAAATAAACAGAAAAGGATTAAATACAATTTTCGAAAATAATACGGTTCAGATATTACCACTCAGAAGAATCACTTTCCCTTTTCAATCATTTTCACCTTGTTTTACTTAATTAAATAGATTGAATTCCATTTATAGATGCTAGATTTTATATTACATTTCATCCATTCTATTATCCGATATTATTAATTTACACTTCCTATAAAGATATTTCTCTGCAACAGAAACTCATTAATCGAATTCATAAAAAGAGAAAAAAATGTAATACCTGAAAAGAAGATACATTAGTAACAATAAAATTTCACAAAAATCAAAGTAATGGTTAATGAGTCATTTCCAAACAAGAAAACATCAATTAGACACAAAACATGAATTAAAAACGAATTTCAGTACCAAAATAAAAGCAGAAAAAGATTTATAAAAAAAAGTTGTTATTAAGTAAATGATTTCAGTTAGAAACATTAATTATTTCATTTTATTGCATAATATTTAACATTAGTTCATTTAGTAACCAATAATATATAAAATTTTAATTGAAATAATTGTCTTTTACTGCAATATACGTAAGTACAACCATGATTCTACTTGACTTTATTGCATTATATTATACAATACACTTTTCAATGCAAATTTATTGTAAATGGAAAAACTGAGGAGAAAATCACGAGTGGACTCTGCTTTTCAGGAAAAGAATTAGAAAATTTATAAAAGTAATTTAATTAGCTTCTCCGTAAGCTTGAAACGAAACATCGCGACCAAAAATCAAAACTATACAACTTCAACAACAACCATCCACTTTTGTTTAAATAAAGCAGAATTAAAATCTAATAAGCTATTTCAAATGAACAAATATTCCTTGAAATAATTTATCACCAATCACAAAATAAAATGAATTTTCATTTTAAATAAAACTTTCAATAAAGTTCTATCTAAAACTTTATCGTAATTAGTAATATTTTGAAAACAATAAATTCATATATTATTTAACAGTATTTCCGACAACCGAATGCTCAAAATTTTCAAAATTAAAAAAAGGGAAGAAAAAAGAATGGGGGCGGGGCAGTGGGAGGGAGGGTACAGGGGAACCTGAAAAGAAAAGTTTGATTGCCCATAAGAGCAATCCCTAAGCAAACCCTAAAAACAAACCGAAATCACACGCAACACTAATTTCAAAATTGCAAACATTCTGAACTATGACAAAACATCGGCTGGCAACGAAGGGTCTCACGCCCCCTAGACTTACGCCAGACGCTACATACCATCCACCCCGCCTGGACGTCGTAACGCCAGGACAGAGTGCACCCCTTCGCTAAGAGCGCTACCCGCCCGTCCAACACGTTGCATCCAACGGTGTCAGATTGACGGACGCCCATAGTATAGACAAAAGGACTGCAGTTTAGAATATGGTAACATATTTTCATATGTTCCGTATTCTAAAACTGTGCCTGCAAAGGCCTAGTAATGCATGGGTATATCTCCCAGAGATGGTGTTCACGGTCTTATGCCGCGGAATCCTTGACTAGCAATGGATTCCCACCGAATGTGAGTCATAGTTACTTCCACTAATTTAATAACAATCGCGAATTCAGTCGCAACACTAATTTCATTAATTATATAATATGTACAAAAGCGTACGCGTGAAGGCTGCTCCATTATACGCAACGCTAAGCTGAAAAAAAGAAAAAAAGAGAAAACGCGAACTGCAACGCAACACTACTTAAATCTACCGAATTTTGTAAGACGCAACACTAATCTAAAAAAGGGGTACAGCCAATCCAAGGCTGTACCACGGCAGCTGGTCCATAGCTGCCTTATGGACCATGGCAACTCCAGTGGATCGTTTTGGGGCATTTCTAATGCAAAACGCGAACATTCATTACCGCAACACTAATTAGCAGGGAACTCTATGACCTAATGCAAAGCAATCGCGTATTTATAAGTCGCAACACTGGGAAACAATCGCGCTAATGTCATTCGCAACACTAGCTTTAACAGACATGCAATTAAAATGCAGAAAAGGGGATTCTCAAACCGTGAATTTTTTACACGCAACACTAATTTCATTAATTATATAATATGTACAAAAGCATACGCGTGATGGCTGCTCCATTATACGCAACGCTAAGCTGAAAAAAAGAAAAAAAGAGAAAACGCGAACTGTAACGCAACACTACTCAAATCTACCGAATTTTGTAAGACGCAACACTAATCTAAAAAAGGGGTATAGCCAATCCAAGGCTATATCACGGCAGCTGGTCCATAGCTGCCTTATGGACCATGGCAAATCCACTGGATCGTTTTTGGGCATTTCATCATATATCGCAACACTAATGCAAAACGCGAATATTCATTACCGCAACACTAATTAGCAGGGAACTCTATAAACTAATGCAAAGCAATCGCGTATTTATAAGTCGCAACACTGGGAAACAATCGCGCTAATGTCATTCGCAACGCTATCTTTAACAGACATGCAATTGAAATGCAAAAAAAGGGGATTCTCAAACCGTGAATTTTTTACTCGCAACACTAAAGCAATCAACATTAAAAAGCAAAACTCTCAAAAATCTTAAAACAATCAACATTGAAAAGTTATATTCTATTGTAAAGCAATGCAAGAAAGAAACGCGATATTTAAAGTTTGCAACACTAAATGAAAATCGCGAAAATCATGCATACGCAACATTAAATTGAACCGTGATCGATATTCATTCGCAACACTAAATTGAACCGTGGTCAATATTCGCAACACTAAATTGAAAACGCGATTTGCCCAAAATCATGGGGGTCACGGGCCCCCTCTTGTCCTGAAATTACAAAACTACAACTACAGGCAAGCACAGTGACAAAGTAGTAACGATAATGATTTCCCATCCTTTTTTGCAAAAGGATGCAAAATCATTAATAGTTCCCCTCTTGAAAGACAGTTTGTCGGGGCGCTTCGGCATATAGCCTTTTCTTTCTTCGGGCGGTCCACCCACCTGAAACTTATATCTAAAGCTCGAGACTTGCAAATTCGCAAAACAAAAAAAAAATCAATCAACAAAAAAGAAAAATCGCGAAACTCTAATTGACACGTGGACGAAAAAGGACTTTATATAAGTCGTTGTTCGTGCACACGTGCCGTGCTCGAGCAGAACTTGTGCGTTTCGTGACATCGCGATCGCGTCTGACGACTTATGAAGTCGCCAAAAATTTGAAAAATTGTACAGATAGAATCGAAGGCGAACGGCATACTCCGTTCGTATCGATTGGATCGTCAATTCTTCAAATATATTCCAGGTACAGGTTGATCACGCGAAATCGCGCCTACCCGACCAAGAGACTGTGACAACCTGTCCCGGCCCTACCTGCTTACAATCTATCATACATACCAGAAGGTATACTACCTACCTACCTAACCCTATATTTAAAAAAGGCAAAATCACATTCTCACAAAAATTCATTCCACGACCCCCATACACTCCACCCGGGCGCAGAGCCTAAACTAGGGAGAACGTCCCGGGACGCCTCCGTCACCCGAGTTTCATCTCACATCACACTCTACGGTACGTACCATTTTTCACTGAAATCGTCTGGCAAGGCTAGCAATCATTGCGTATAATGATAATTACAAAATTTAATTAACTATTTTGATATAGAATATTTCATAGTAATGGTAATAATCATGATAATAGTATTTGGTAATAGTAACAATAGTATTTGGTTTATACGTTCATCGTACATCTTGTTGAATAAAATATCATTTCAAATTAAAAGTAAATGAAAAAGTTATTAAACCGACGCAATCCCACAGCCTAAAAACACACACACCATATGTGGAGATTACGTCGTGCACGATATACTAACACAATGCCAGCCGCTTATTAATTATTATTCTTATGAACTAGGTCATCGAGCCCATTGCCTCTACCCATCCAAGTAGCACCTGGGCACGTGAATGGGCTTTGGCAATAAACACGGAAGGGGTTAAATCTGAAAATCCTGATCTACAAACATGATTAGTACATAAACATCTAACGGGCTAATATTTCACTATTTTAATAAAAATGACTCGACTTTGTAAATATAAAGCTTTAAGAACAAATACTGAAAAGCAAAATAGAGCAACTATGACGCAAACATGGTGCACTGCTAATATCAGCTGGCAACGAAGGGTCTCACGCCCCCTAGACTTACGCCAGACGCTACATACCACCCACCCCGCCTGGACGTCGTAACGCCAGGACAGAGTGCACCCCTTCGCTAAGAGCGCTACCCGCCCGTCCAACACGTTGCATCCAACGGTGTCAGATTGACGGACGCCCATAGTATAGACAAAAGGACTACAGTTTAGAATATGGCAACATATTTTCATATGTCCCGTATTCTAAAGCTGCGCCTGCAAAGGCCTAGTAATGCATGGGTATATCTCCCAGAGATGGTGTTCACGGTCTTATGCCGCGGAATCCTTGTAACTAATTTGATTAATTAAATAATAAAAAGGATTGAGTTTAAAAACCAAAAGGATTCCCACCGAATACTAGTCAGTGCATCGTCATATTTACTCTCGCGCTGGAAATTTTTCGCAACACTAATTTAAGAAATGCAAAATTTTAATAAAAAAGAATTTAATGTCTTTAATTAAGAATTTTCTTTGCAATGAAACAAGAATTTGTTGTGAAAATTAATAAAACATCCTCGGGTGACTCCCTCCTCAGAGTAAATTTTCAAGAATACGCAAAATGTGTTGAAATAGATCACTCTGAGTTGGAAATCTACCCGTCACGAATTGTCTTCTTGCACATAAATTGTTCATTTTTTCATGAACGTGTGAATAAGTTAAACTTTGTTATTGAATGAATATTTGAATTTATAGTGTACAAAATGTAATTAAATCAATGTAACAGCATCATTAATATGTATATCCGGTATACAGATTACATAATACTATTAATATTATATTGCTTTGAACCATCGCAATAATTAAGTCAGATAGTATTTGACTTCTCTATTACAGACAAAATAAATAAAATTGTTTCGGTATTAAAATATTCTAATTCCACAGTTAAGAATATTTAAGAGCATTCATATATTTCAAAAATATCTATTAGAATATGTGGAATTGAAATGATATTAACACGCGGAGTACAAGAAGACCTATCCTAACTAAATGAAATGAAACAATAAAAATGTTACTACTCATGGGTATGTATAATCATACCCATGGTCACTATGCTTGCCAAGCACGTATACAACTAGTAGCCCGTGTCGATTCGGACCATTCGTCCTACGACATGATTGGGCACCAGAGGAACCATAAAACATGCGACTCACCGTTCGCAGATATACTCTTCTTCCGACAGTCAAACACCAGGTAGGAGGCTGCCTTGTAGGAGAAGACGGAAGTCGTGAAGAAAGCTGTTCATCTGTAACAAAAAAAGAAGAATTACGGTTAATTTTGAAAATGATCAATTTTTATTCTAATAAAATTATATATGAAATTGAATTTTATAAAATATTAGCAATTAAAAAGAAATCTCAATTATCAAGTGTTGAAATTGTAAATTATTCTATTTTAATAAAAAGCAATTAAGTGACGTACCAAGGCGGAAGTCGTGAAGAAAGCCATCATCAGGATATCCAGGAACTCGGCAATCAAAAAATTCATCTGTAACAAAACAAAAAAGAATTACGGTTAATTTTACAAATTATCAATTTTTATTCTAATAAAATTATATATGAAATTGAATTTTATAAAATATTAGCAATAGCAATTAAGAACTCTCAATTATCAAGTATTGAAATTGTAAATTATTCTATTTCAATTAAAATTAATTAAATAAAGTAATGAGATACTTACACTCTTTCCTTATGGAGCAACGCCCAAAACTCCTCTTCAGTGGTGCTTTGACTCTAATCCCGAATATATCGAGCAATTAAAGAAAAAAAAAAGAAAAAAAAATAAAGATATAAAGTAACGCGACCGAGAATAATTTCCGGCGAACAATTGTAATGACTCTACTTTCACGATGAAAAAGGAAAAAGCAGAGCCGCGATGCTCTAAAGAATATTTTATAATCCGCAGCAAACACTGACTCTACTTTCGCGTGATTCCTAATCATACAAACGCAACTCTATTCAGGGCCAGTTCGCCCTTGCAAAAATCAAAACATTGGAAGTATATTCGTACAAACACTGACTCTACCGACCGCATTGCGCGCGGCCACAACAATTCCTGAAAGAAAAACTTAGTGGGCAGGGATGGGCTGGGTGGAAATAAACAAAACAACATTCTTCTTATTGAGTGTTCGTAACGGAAATACTGTTATTAATGGCTTGTAAATGAAAATATCTATGTTCGTGAAATATATTCGACGAGCACAAATATTGTTAAATCTGAATATTGATCCTAGATTGAAATGAAATGTTTTAAATAATTGTTGATAATTATTTCAATGAATATTACATCGATAGAAAATCATTTTGTAATAAAGATAATAGACTATTGTATTAAAGCAGAGGATTTTTGTTGTTAAGATTGTAAGCATATTAAAAAATGTTGAAAATTCTATTACGGCGTAATTTATAAATTATCTATTTCTTTACAATAAGCAAAGTCCAATAATTAACCATGCTTAAACAGCATGAGATTTAATAACGTGATTTTATTTTAATTCAAACTTGCACCGAAAGCTGTATATTATAATACAATTTGACGATAACAGATTGTTTAAAATAATTCTGATTTTTAACAGATGCATGAAACTACTAGTTAAAATTATTCAATAAAATGAAAAATTAATTATCCTTTTTCTATTAATTGATCAAAGAGAGAAACATTCCTCTGATCTTTCCTTCCTTGACCTTGGTACCAATAATTAATTATCAAAAATGCTTACAATTAACAATGCCTCAACAAAAAGAAAGTAATAACAAATATTACCAATTGATTACAATAAATCAAAACGTTACCAATTCTTTACGAAATTGTGTTTCAAACCAGTATTAATTACCATGGCATCGCATCGCATGGCATTTTTTCAATATCAAGGAAATATCTGTAACAAATAAGAAATACAAATTTATGTAAATGAAATTTAACCAACAGCAATAAAGTTATGATTAACAAATGATCGAGCTTCATAATTTATGCAAAATATTTGAATAGTAAACTGCGTGTACCTATGAACTACCCGTACAGGAGGACGCCCTCAACACGTCTTACTGCTTCGACGCTCGAGAGAGCAATGGCGAGACCTTCCTTCCCATCGTAGACCGGTCGGCACTTCGGCAACGCTCGGCAATGTTCGGTATATTCTGCTATCGGCCGATACCTAAGCAAGTACACGAACACGTCTAAACAAGAATAATATTACGATGCTCAAGAACAAAACGTTATTAAATTAAAAACAGCAAATTCTGTGAAACAATATGAAAAACATTCAATAATGTTTAGGAACTTAATAATATAAAAGAGAAAATAATTCAGATCCTGCTGTTCCATCTCATTGTACATTCACGGCAAGAGCAAAAATTTTCAACTCGTGTATTTTCAAAGAAGACGTCGAATTAATAACAAAAATTAAGAATCTAGACTTCTCTTCGACTTTTCTTTCTGTTTTTAGTACTGTTAATACTTGAAAGGCAGTTTTATTTAATATTTAATAATAATTTAATCTTACCTGTTGCAGACACGTGCCAAACGGACGAAGCTTCGAAGAGAACTGATGCACTCCACCACACTCCGCGTACCTAACCCTTAAACGATGAATCTGATTGGTCGAAATGGGAAGACGCAATAACGGAGGACCAATCACAGCCATTGGTAGAAGCTTCGAATTGCTTCGAAACTTTAATACTAAAATAAGAAAAGGTTCGTTGAAAACTATCGACGCCATATTGTAATAATGTCAAGATCACTTTTTTCAACTTAAAGCAACAAAATATACGAAAAAGAATAGAAAAAAGCATAAGATATTGATGATATTTAGTAAATCATCGTCATAAACAGAGAATAAAATAAGGAAAACATTATTTTAATCGGTACCTATATATCGGCGGTATAATCGAAAACGAAGACATCAATTATTACAATGCATAACAACAGATTATGAGTAAAAAGGAATTAAAAACATGAAAAAATGTAATAATATTCAAGAAATTGACGACATGAAAGACAAATAACTAAGATTCTGTTGTTCCAATCTCATTGTGAATTCGCAACAAGAGTAAAAACTTTCAACTCGTATATTTTTGAAGAAAACGCCGAATTAATGTCAAAAATGAAGAATCTAGACTTCTCTTTGACTATTCTTTCTGTTTTTTGTACAGTTAACACGCGGAAGGCAGTTTAATTTAATATTTAATGATAATTTAATCTCACCTGTTGCAGACACGTGCCAAACGGACGAAGCTTCGAAGACAACTGATGCACTCCACCACACTCCGCACACCTAACCCTTAAACGATGAATCTGATTTAGTTCCTCATTTTTTCCGTAGGGCGCAGTTAATTCGTTTTCTGCGCCCGACCGAGCGATCAATTTGTGGTCTGTTTTACCAATTTAACGTCTTTTGCGTGTAAACAATGAAGGAAATGGCGATCATTCACTGTTCGTGGCTTTGAAGCGGCCACGACGCTTGCATCGTCTTAAATAGTGTTAAAATATCATATTAAAGTGGGTGTTAGGTATCGAAAATACAAAATACAGATGGCAAAGTTGAAGAGAAGACGGGAGTCATGGTTTCTGACGTTATTTCCACATCGTCCTTAGAAGTGCGTAAGCTGAAAATTTATACCCTATTTTGTCGATACAAACACCAATTAAAATAACATATTTCACTTTTATCCTGCTTTTATGATGATAATTTATTAAATAATATTAAAGTCTTATTTATTTCTCTATCTTCTTTCCTATATTTCAGTGCTTTAAATTGAGAAAAGTAATCTTGACTATATTATAATATGACGTCAATAATTTTCAACGAACCTTTTCCTTATTTTAGTATTAAAGTTTCGAAACAATTTGAAGCTTCTACCAATGGCTGTGATTGGTCGTCCGTTATTGCGTCTTCCCATTTCGACCAATTAGATCATCGTTTAAGGGTTAGGTGTGCGGAGTGTGGTGGAGTGCATCAGTTGTCTTCGAAGCTTCGTCCGTTTGGCACGTGTCTGCAACAGGTGAGATTAAATTATCATTAAATATTAAATTAAACTGCCTTCCGCGTGTTAACTGTACAAAAAACAGAAAGAATAGTCAAAGAGAAGTCTAGATTCTTCATTTTTGACATTAATTCGGCGTTTTCTTCAAAAATATACGAGTTGAAAGTTTTTACTCTTGTTGCGAATTCACAATGAGATTGGAACAACAGAATCTTAGTTATTTGTCTTTCATGTCGTCAATTTCTTGAATATTATTACATTTTTTCATGTTTTTAATTCCTTTTTACTCATAATCTGTTGTTATGCATTGTAATAATTGATGTCTTCGTTTTCGATTATACCGCCGATATATAGGTACCGATTAAAATAATGTTTTCCTTATTTTATTCTCTGTTTATGACGATGATTTACTAAATATCATCAATATCTTATGCTTTTTTCTATTCTTTTTCGTATATTTTGTTGCTTTAAGTTGAAAAAAGTGATCTTGACATTATTACAATATGGCGTCGATAGTTTTCAACGAACCTTTTCTTATTTTAGTATTAAAGTTTCGAAGCAATTCGAAGCTTCTACCAATGGCTGTGATTGGTCCTCCGTTATTGCGTCTTCCCATTTCGACCAATCAGATTCATCGTTTAAGGGTTAGGTACGCGGAGTGTGGTGGAGTGCATCAGTTCTCTTCGAAGCTTCGTCCGTTTGGCACGTGTCTGCAACAGGTAAGATTAAATTATTATTAAATATTAAATAAAACTGCCTTTCAAGTATTAACAGTACTAAAAACAGAAAGAAAAGTCGAAGAGAAGTCTAGATTCTTAATTTTTGTTATTAATTCGACGTCTTCTTTGAAAATACACGAGTTGAAAATTTTTGCTCTTGCCGTGAATGTACAATGAGATGGAACAGCAGGATCTGAATTATTTTCTCTTTTATATTATTAAGTTCCTAAACATTATTGAATGTTTTTCATATTGTTTCACAGAATTTGCTGTTTTTAATTTAATAACGTTTTGTTCTTGAGCATCGTAATATTATTCTTGTTTAGACGTGTTCGTGTACTTGCTTAGGTATCGGCCGATAGCAGAATATACCGAACATTGCCGAGCGTTGCCGAAGTGCCGACCGGTCTACGATGGGAAGGAAGGTCTCGCCATTGCTCTCTCGAGCGTCGAAGCAGTAAGACGTGTTGAGGGCGTCCTCCTGTACGGGTAGTTCATAGGTACACGCAGTTTACTATTCAAATATTTTGCATAAATTATGAAGCTCGATCATTTGTTAATCATAACTTTATTGCTGTTGGTTAAATTTCATTTACATAAATTTGTATTTCTTATTTGTTACAGATATTTCCTTGATATTGAAAAAATGCCATGCGATGCGATGCCATGGTAATTAATACTGGTTTGAAACACAATTTCGTAAAGAATTGGTAACGTTTTGATTTATTGTAATCAATTGGTAATATTTGTTATTACTTTCTTTTTGTTGAGGCATTGTTAATTGTAAGCATTTTTGATAATTAATTATTGGTACCAAGGTCAAGGAAGGAAAGATCAGAGGAATGTTTCTCTCTTTGATCAATTAATAGAAAAAGGATAATTAATTTTTCATTTTATTGAATAATTTTAACTAGTAGTTTCATGCATCTGTTAAAAATCAGAATTATTTTAAACAATCTGTTATCGTCAAATTGTATTATAATATACAGCTTTCGGTGCAAGTTTGAATTAAAATAAAATCACGTTATTAAATCTCATGCTGTTTAAGCATGGTTAATTATTGGACTTTGCTTATTGTAAAGAAATAGATAATTTATAAATTACGCCGTAATAGAATTTTCAACATTTTTTAATATGCTTACAATCTTAACAACAAAAATCCTCTGCTTTAATACAATAGTCTATTATCTTTATTACAAAATGATTTTCTATCGATGTAATATTCATTGAAATAATTATCAACAATTATTTAAAACATTTCATTTCAATCTAGGATCAATATTCAGATTTAACAATATTTGTGCTCGTCGAATATATTTCACGAACATAGATATTTTCATTTACAAGCCATTAATAACAGTATTTCCGTTACGAACACTCAATAAGAAGAATGTTGTTTTGTTTATTTCCACCCAGCCCATCCCTGCCCACTAAGTTTTTCTTTCAGGAATTGTTGTGGCCGCGCGCAATGCGGTCGGTAGAGTCAGTGTTTGTACGAATATACTTCCAATGTTTTGATTTTTGCAAGGGCGAACTGGCCCTGAATAGAGTTGCGTTTGTATGATTAGGAATCACGCGAAAGTAGAGTCAGTGTTTGCTGCGGATTATAAAATATTCTTTAGAGCATCGCGGCTCTGCTTTTTCCTTTTTCATCGTGAAAGTAGAGTCATTACAATTGTTCGCCGGAAATTATTCTCGGTCGCGTTACTTTATATCTTTATTTTTTTTTCTTTTTTTTTTCTTTAATTGCTCGATATATTCGGGATTAGAGTCAAAGCACCACTGAAGAGGAGTTTTGGGCGTTGCTCCATAAGGAAAGAGTGTAAGTATCTCATTACTTTATTTAATTAATTTTAATTGAAATAGAATAATTTACAATTTCAATACTTGATAATTGAGAGTTCTTAATTGCTATTGCTAATATTTTATAAAATTCAATTTCATATATAATTTTATTAGAATAAAAATTGATAATTTGTAAAATTAACCGTAATTCTTTTTTGTTTTGTTACAGATGAATTTTTTGATTGCCGAGTTCCTGGATATCCTGATGATGGCTTTCTTCACGACTTCCGCCTTGGTACGTCACTTAATTGCTTTTTATTAAAATAGAATAATTTACAATTTCAACACTTGATAATTGAGATTTCTTTTTAATTGCTAATATTTTATAAAATTCAATTTCATATATAATTTTATTAGAATAAAAATTGATCATTTTCAAAATTAACCGTAATTCTTCTTTTTTTGTTACAGATGAACAGCTTTCTTCACGACTTCCGTCTTCTCCTACAAGGCAGCCTCCTACCTGGTGTTTGACTGTCGGAAGAAGAGTATATCTGCGAACGGTGAGTCGCATGTTTTATGGTTCCTCTGGTGCCCAATCATGTCGTAGGACGAATGGTCCGAATCGACACGGGCTACTAGTTGTATACGTGCTTGGCAAGCATAGTGACCATGGGTATGATTATACATACCCATGAGTAGTAACATTTTTATTGTTTCATTTCATTTAGTTAGGATAGGTCTTCTTGTACTCCGCGTGTTAATATCATTTCAATTCCACATATTCTAATAGATATTTTTGAAATATATGAATGCTCTTAAATATTCTTAACTGTGGAATTAGAATATTTTAATACCGAAACAATTTTATTTATTTTGTCTGTAATAGAGAAGTCAAATACTATCTGACTTAATTATTGCGATGGTTCAAAGCAATATAATATTAATAGTATTATGTAATCTGTATACCGGATATACATATTAATGATGCTGTTACATTGATTTAATTACATTTTGTACACTATAAATTCAAATATTCATTCAATAACAAAGTTTAACTTATTCACACGTTCATGAAAAAATGAACAATTTATGTGCAAGAAGACAATTCGTGACGGGTAGATTTCCAACTCAGAGTGATCTA